AGTGGTAAATTGCAGCCAGGAATGCATCATAAAAAGTGGTCGGTAATAAAAACATAATAGTAATATTAGAAGGTATTAAACATTATTGTGATAAAATAATAATACAACTATAACATTTTATTATAAAAAGGCCTATACGGAGCAAGAAGAAAATAAGTCAATGGTTGGTGAAATATTAGAAAGGGTCCGAATGCATGTACAGTACGCATGGATTTAGATGCATGGTATACATGTACACTGCGCAAAGGTGCAAAAGAATCCTTTTAGATTTGGGGTAAAGATATATGTTTAAATTTGGCGGACTTAATGAGGGGATATTTATTAGGAATGTAGGCCGCATTTATGTAAAGTATGCATAGATGTAAACGCATGAACAAGCGTGAACACCATGTGAAAGAGCGAAAGGTGTATTCTTCGCATTTGAGGAAAAGATAAGGGGGACATAATGCATGAATCTTTATTGCATGTATACAAGTTAATAGCAATATGGAGGGCAACATGCGTGTGCAAAGCACTTAGATGCAAGTGCATATGTATGTGTGTGCATCGCACAAAAGTGCATGATCATAGGATTCTACTGACGTCTAGTTCCTCATTTAATTCCGGAGGGAAATGAATCCACATAGTAATAGCAGCCCAAGATTTATAACAAAATACAACACTCAGCATGGGCACATCAAAAGAATCATTAAAAAGAATTGGCACATTCTGCAACAGGATCTTGTACTGGGCCTGGAACTCCCCAAGAACCCTGAGGTCATCTTTAGAAAAGCCCCAAAAATAGGTAATAAAATTGATCCTAGCAAGATTAAAGTAGATAAGGATCACATGTCCCTCCTGTCTTTTTATGGAGATCTGAAAGGTATCTTCAAGTGTAAAAAATTGAGGTGCAAAATATGTGCATTTATCACACATGGACAATCGTCCTTCTAGGACACTTTGGGGAAAGAATATCCCATTACCCAATTTCTAAACTGCTCTACCGAATTTGCAGTCTATGGTCTAACTTGCCCCTGTGGCCTTCTATATATAGGTCGCACCACCAAGACACAACGCTGTAGTTTTGGACAACATCGACGATATATAGAACAGGGCTCCAAGGACCACAGTGTACCAAGACACTTTGCCACCAAACATAAATCTACAGGGGGCCTAGCAGTATTTGCAATTGAACACAGTACTAGCAGTATGTCCCCTGCCGAAAGATTTTGCAAACTGTGTAACCAGGAGACCTACTGGATCTATACATTAAAAATACACTAAACCCTAATGGATGAAATGAGGAACTAGATGTCAGTACAATCCTATGATCATGCACTTTTGTGCGATGCACACATACATATGCACTTGCCACTCTACCTGGTTCGAATTAGAGGAACAGCGCATACAGACCCTGGTGGGTCTCTGCTAAAGGTGAGGTGCATTCCAGAAGATTTCTCTGTTGATGGTCACAGGAGACTGAGTTTATTCTACATCCATTGTTTTATCTTCTATTTACTTAATGGACTATTGAAGATCCAGGATCATGGACATTTTTTAACCATTTATTATTATCATAGTGCATGTTATACACATGTGTTTTTCTGGTTGTTATTCTTTGCACATTGCATCACATTGATTCACAGTTAATATTTAGTGCACTTGATTTTTTATCATGAAGATTATGTAGCAATTACATTTACCCTAAGGTGCATGTTATATACATGCGTTTCTTCATTCATTTTCTACACATTGTATCACATTACTTCAAGGTCAGTATCTACTATATATCTGACACTTTTGCGGTTTCATTCATACAGCGCGGCTTTTACCATTAATTTCATACGATATATCTGACCCCACAGATTTCAGCTGCTGCTTAACATGATTAGAGTAGTGGCACGAGGTTTCACATTATTCATTTCTGTTTTATATAAACTTTTCAGGATGCTACAAAAGCTCCTCTATAGTGCAAAGGGAAAGGCTTAGTAGGCCTCTTCTTCTTAAGGGAGCCCATACTGGTGGCCTTCATGCAATCCTTTTCAGGAAGCGCAATGACTAAACATTCCCTAACATAATCTATCAGCACCTCTCTGGTTTCATGCAATATGGGGGATAGCATTGCAGATTGAGGGTCCTCTGCAGAGAATATGTCACATTCAAAAAGGAGACAAGCACCTCTACCTCAACACTTCATTCCACCTTCCGTCCGACATTCGGAAGGAGAACGGGGACTACACTTGTGCCCCCTGCAACTAGACTCCTCAATCACAGCAGAAATCTGACCCTTGAAGACAGTCATAGATCCTGCAAAATTCTCCGTGCTAAGGCAGGAAGTGCATGGTCCCCACCTAAAAGGTGGAGGGACGCATCAGAAGAGGGCAGTGAGCTAAAGTTTGGGCTAGCACACCAACTATATGTCGCAGAGTCCACAGGAAGAACCTTAAGTAATACCCCATGCCCCAGTAACGGCCAAGGCACTGCTAACCCAGATCCCTCAGTGCCTTTGTATCCTAAGCCATAGTGAGGGGTCCACGATGGGTACCTAAAACTGGCACCTAGGGTAATTGAGGGTCCCCAGCAGTGGACTTCATGCTCCCCAGCCACACAGATGCTGTGCTCGCCTTAACATGTGTCCCACCTGGCTGTAAAATGGCCATGGCAGGGTGCACAGGCAGTTGCGATGTGCTCAGGCAGGTGGAACAAGATGGTAACCGCAGCTCCCAGTAGGAGACCGCTCTTCTTCTAAAGGGAGGATAGCATTGCAAAAAATCAGGTTCACTTTAAGGTTCATAAAGACATAAGGTAACATTTTACTCTTTTCAGCCATTTATGGGCAGACTGTGGAATGTTCGCTGACCACGCTTGCTTATGAGAAGAAATCAACTGGCCCAGATGGATTTATTGGTTGACTGCTGTTGTCCTGACCTGAAACAAAAAAGACACCTGCATGTCCCTCCCCAGACGCCCCTCAAATCATCCTAAGAGCCCATATGGACAAATGTGCATGCTCATCTGATGCAAACATGTTTATGCTATGATCATTCCTGGAAAAAAATAATTTGAAAGTTAGAATGCATTCATGACAGGCTCTCTTTTAGTTAGGTAGGATATACACTGTTTAACCAGCGGACTGAGTGAAGAAAATATAACACATACCACTCCCACTGTGAGCTTTGTATTCTGACAGTAGTGCCAGCGCTAGCTAACTGGCTGCAAGAACTATTCGGCCAACAAATTTCCAACATGTTGCTTCAGCAAAAGTTGATCCAATGATCGACTTCTGGTCGAGAAAATAAACCAATGGAGCAAATTTTAGACAAAATTGGCTCAATGTGTACCCAGTTTTAGTATCTGTAGGCACCTTTTGGTTACAGATTTAGAAGCAAGGAAAGCAAACTGTTTTCTTAAGTCAACATCTGTTTATATTCTCGCATGTTATGGACACAAATAACCAGAGGAAGATGATTAGGGATGCACCGATACAATTTTTTCAAGACAGAGTAGCGATACTTTTCCTCAAGTACTTCCGTTACCAATTACCGATACCTTTTTCTTAGGGTCATGCAACAGTTTTTCTTAAACAATACAGACTAATGATTTTAGGAGAGTGGTGGAGCGCCGGGGCCTAGTCGCAGCTGCAAACACTGCACCCCTGGTAGTTCTACCACTGACTTCAAGCTGTAGAGGGACTACACATCCCAGCAATGCAAAATACCACCAGCTATAGGAGGACTACAAATCCCAGCAATACATTAGAGTTGCAACTAATGAATATTTTCATAATTGGATTAGTTGGACGATTATTTTTTTTTTTTACTAATTGGATAAAAAAAAGAATAAATAACATCCTTAATTTAAAATAACATACACAAAACGCAGTGTTACAAAGTTTACTTCATAAAACTGCATGTACAATTTTTTGCAAGCGCACTGCACTGGAAAGCGCGGCATTGTGGTACTGTTATTCCAGTGCAGGCGATCACAGTGTGGGTGGGAGACGCGTTTTGGTTGCCATTGAAATTAAGGGCACTGCAACCCACCTCCTGCAGCAGAATTTGTCAGGCCGAAACTGAAAATTACTTTTTTCCAACCTTTTAAATCATTTTTTTTTTCTATAAATTGTACTGTAAGCACATGGTGCTTGAATAGCTTCTGCCAGGAAATGACCGCTGCTAGTTGCAAGATTCTGCAGACAGCACCTGAATGTAAATACAGCAGGTAGTAGGCAGTAGGCTGGTGCAATAACCATCCTGCTATTGGCCATACCAAAACGCAAAAGCAGGCTGGCTATTGCACCTGCCCACTGCTTGCTGTGCCCTCTTCCCAGCGTAGAGGAGAGAGAGCTAGGAGATCCAACCAACTGATAATAAGAATAGTTAACTGCTATTCTCATTATCGATTAATGGTTGCAGCCCTACAATACATTATACAACAATTCAGAACAATATGCAGCTACATACTCTGCGCTGCTCACCAGGGCTGAGCGGGGTCTCAGGAGGATGTGCGCGGTCCCACCAAGGCTGCGGACGGTGGGGTGTCACCAGGGTTGTGGGGGCTGCGGGTCTCCCCATGGTGGGTGTGGGCAGCAGGAAGGAGGAGAAGAAAATGTGCAGCCCGACCGGTGCTGTTAACAGCCGCTGGGAAGTCACCAGCAAGCACAGGACCTTACGGCAGCCGTTTCAGTTTAAAAATGTAAAGGGCCGTTATCAGCTGTTATCGGGGCATTTTCAATGCCCAGTACCGGTACCGATACTGGTATAGCTATCGGTGCATTCCTATCAATGATAACGGAGGGAAGTGTGCAAGGAATATGCAGTGCAAAAAAGGTTCATTTCAAATGGCAGGCTTTTAAAAAATGAAAAGCAAACTGAAGCTAGCACTGTGATGCATTAAGAAAATAAACAGATTACTAAAAAATGTAATACTTTATGAGTTATTAGCGTAAGACATATCACTCTGGGAGGAGAAAAGAATTAAACATAACAACCCTCCCCCAAAATAAATTGTAAAAAACATACGCCAAATAAGAGGCTGCTGTCTGTTTCAGCTGCTCCGTTCTCTGTTTCAAGCCATCCTTGGAAAGTGTGGACAGTCGGGCATCACCCTCAGGGGGTACATATGGCTCAAAAATTCCAGCTAGAAATAAGAGAGTAGAAATAAATGGGTGTGCAACATGTGACTTGACAGTGAAGGGGAAGCAGCCCAGTGTTGCAGTGGAATACATTACAGGATGCAAATAGTCAGACAAGTTCAGGTGTTAAGGCTTGTTTACTAGAAAATTAAATGTATTTTACATAACATTTTTAAAAATGTGTATATATAAAAAGCTAAGGGAGATGACTAAGAAAAAACCAGGAGTTAAACTTACTGGTAACTATATTTCTAGTAGTCTTCCAGGACAGCATGCAAGAGGTAGAGGTTCCTCCCCTCAAACAGGAAGCATGTTACATATACCCAATTTAATAGAACTGCCTCCAGCAAGGATCCTTCAGTCACCAACAGAACCGAAGGAAGCACAAACTGCAAAAAAAGAAGAACACAGACAAAACAAAATAACCACAACAATGACTTGAAGTTCTGCTGTCATGGAAGACTAGTAGAAATAGAGTTACTGGCAAGTCTAACTCTGGTTTTCTCTTAGTAGTCTTCCAGGACAGCATGCGAGAGGATAAACAAGAACTCACCAACCTAAAGCGGAACTACTGCATGGAGAACCTTTTTACCGAAGGCCTGATCTATCTCAAGAAGAGATGAGATCCAGGAAGTAATGCAGGATGAACGGTAACTACGGTAAATCTTCCTGGTGACCAATTTTCTACTCAAAAGAGTAGACAGTCAGTCACGGCTCCCTGCAGGGATCCCCGCCGCTCCGATCCTCCATCGCTGACTGGGAGGGGGCGGGTACGGCTGGCTCTGCCTCTAGATAGGCAGAGCCAGCTGTCACTCACGCAGCTGGGTGGATCTCGACAGTAATGTGGGGATCCGTCCCAGCTGCGGCGGTCTCTGTATACCACAAGCTATAGCTCGCGATATACTGAGCTTTGGGTCAGGAGAGGACGCTAGTCTATGTCCTCCCGTGACCCTTAAGAGAACTATGGGGAAAAAAACTTACACCATAGTTCTCTTTTAACCCTTTTGGGGTATAAATAGTCGTGCCAGTTCTTCTATATATTTGCACATAGAGCACCTTTGACATTGAAAAGTACCACGATACTTACAGCAAACATCTTTTCTATTACTGATATATTCCAGTCTATCTTTAATAGGGGGACATTTCCTATATGTAACACTCGGGTAGCTTTGGACAAATTTAGAAAAATTCTAGTGTCTTTTTTCAGGTAATGCCAATGCTCAGACAAAATATCTGAAAAAGATTCATGTTAGTTACTGTAAGTAGTGACCAATCTGACAATATGATCGAGGGCCTGAATATTCCCTTCCAATTTACAGACACCCTTATTAATCTTATACATTTCATGTTTTCTATCTAAGCCCTTAGCCCTGTGATATGCATATAGCAAATATTTATCTTTATAACCCCGTTTTTTTAATCTTAAATTAAGTTTATGTGCTTCCCTTTCAAAATCCTGGTCTAATGTGCAATTTCACCTGATTCTCAAATATTGACCAACCAGTATGTTTTTCGTAAAGAGAGGGGGTGAGCACTGGTGGCCTCAAGAACGGTATTGCCAGCAGTGCTCTTTCGAAATAATTTGGTAATCAGTTTCCCTTCTCCATTCTTGCATATTGCCCCCGCATTTGGGGATCCCCCATTTTTCACCTGCCAATGAAAGCTTCCCTTTTCTGTCTGCACAGCAAATCTTAGGAATCCCTGACGCTCCAAAAAAAAAAAATGGGAGTGTGAAGGTATGCATCTTTTAAAACCAGGGCGATCATTAACACTGATTTCAGGAGGATTTTCCTTACCGAGTAAATCCTTTCCACCCTGAAATTTAGAAAACTAGTTTTCTAAAGTTGATCATCCTGAATTTCCCACCTGGTTTTGGCACCAGGAAGATATGGGAATAAAATCCCTCAAAATGCTAAGCCTCACTTTCAGTGATACACTCATCCAATGCAACTGTTTTTTTATTTGGTTTTTCGGCAAACTGGTAAGAAAATAAGTTTGTGTAGGAAAAAGTTAAAGTCTAAATTCTAATCTATTCTCAACACATTCAGAATGAACTGATCGTTTGTGATCCTCTCCCACTGAAGACACAAAATGACATCAGACGCATGGGGAGGAGGAAAGAGGAGACTCTCTTTTCATCAGTTTTGGAGGAGGAAAGAGAAGTAAAGAGCAAACCTCCCCTTGACTTGTCCTTACCTTACGCTTTCTCTTCTGGGGCTGAGATTTATTAACCTGTCTTATCTCTTCCTGTGAGTTACGGGGGGGGGGAAATCTATGGTTACGCATCCTTCCATTCTTATTGGGAAACTTTTTACCCATCTCAGAAGATCTAGCAAGGATCTTATCCAAACAAGAAATCAAAAAGGGGACACCACAGAGCTTAGACTTGCTTCTGAGATCGGGCCTGTATCAGCAGCTCTTTCCCCACGACTGCCCCACCTTACTTCTTCCCGTCTCCCTGTGCCGATAGTGGATGTGGGCAGGCGGTGAGCGTGAGGCGGGGAGGAGCTGAGTCGTGTGGCATGTGGATGCAGGTGGGCGGGTCTAGCAGCGTCAAGTGCGAGGCGGGGAGGAGGTGCAGCACGCGGCGTGTGTGGAGCCGTGAACAGGGCCAATTAATTGATGATTGAAAACTTTGACAACTTTTTCAATCGATTATAACCGACTTAGTCAATTAGTTGTTGCAGCCATACAGTCATCACCAATTTGTGGGGACAGTCCCCTGACAAATTATATCCCTGGGAACATAAAATATATTTTATGTTCCAGGGGACATTTTTAAATGATTTTATTTTTAAAATGTTGTCACCTTGCCTTACCCTGGTGGTCAGTGGGGCTCCCTGGACCCTGGTTGTGGGGGGTTGCTGTGGCCGCAGCGGCTCCCTCCCTCCGCCGCTTCTCTGCCACCTGCACCCGGCCAGCCCGCATCAGATGCGGCTCTGTATTTGGCAGCCGCTCGCTCAAGGGGGCCCTCGGTATGCCATCCGGGCTGGCTGGATCAGGCAGACGCGCCCCCCTAATCCGCGATTACAGAGCCGCTTCCCATGCGGTGCAAATGGCGGAGGGAGGAAGCCACTGCACCGGCGGCCGGAGACTTCATTTAACGGGGGCCGGTGAAGAGCCCACTGACGGCCGCAGGCAGGGGCCGCTTTTAAAGGCAGCAGAGAGGCCCAGGGGGCAATTGCCACCCTGCCCAGTCCGCCCCTGCCCCCCAGTTCAGAGCAAATGCAGGCCTTTATTTAGTCATTTACCAGGCCTTCCACAAAACAGATATCTGCTTATATGGCCTGTGATCTTTATTGCCCCCCAGGACAAGTGAGAGTCCCAAATCACCTCTAAACCTTTTATAGCTGTCCCTAATTAAAAGGCATGTCACCAGTAGACAAGTATAGAAACACAAGCAGGTCTGGTAGAGGTAATGTCCCACCATTCACCCGAAAGTCATAAACCTGGGTACAATATCAGCTCCATTTCATAATTTGGAATTGTACGGTGATAGTGAAAAATAAAAGGTTCATCCTCCTCTTGCTTTCCATCCCGAGCCCTGCACTAGGGGCCGGCTCCGTGACACCCGATAAAAGGGCTAACAAAAGATGCTGAAAGCAGCTAGAAGTGTCTCTTGTTTTGAAACATCAAGAAAGGAACTCCAGCAACATCTAGAAGTCTTAACATCGTAGAAAAGTTACCCTTTAATCTCTGGACATCACCTGCTAAAAGCATGCTTGAAGACGAGCCCTTCAGACCTCTTTTGCTTATTGAACTCTGTCCAAAGTCCTAAAACCAGGACTGTTAACTATCTTTTATTCCCTTTCATGATATAGAAATGTCTATTTTTATTACTATTTATTACTAATATATTACTATATATTTCTGTATATTTTCTGTTTCTTTTTTTTAAAGGACAATCTTCAAAATCATTAAGCTTACCTCTACGCTCTAAATAAGAACTTAGAGAACTATGAGGTGAGTGCTTTTCACTCACCTCATAGTTCTAGCCGACCTGTGACTGTCACCGGTCGGCTCAGTAGATCAGGAAGTGAGCGAACACATACCGGCGTTCGCTCACTTCTCGATCCTGTCACAGCTCTCTGCTGTGACCGGGGAGTGGCTGGATTCCCCCCTCCCCGATCCTCCAGCCCTGACTGGCGTAACGGACGGGGGAGGGGGCGGGTACAGCTGGCTCTGCCTCTAGATCGGCAGAGCCAGCTGTCACTCACGCAGCTGGGCGGATCCCGACATAATTGTCGGGATCCGCTGCGTTGTCTCAGTACACCGCGAGCTGTAGCTCGCGGTATACTGAGCTTAGGGCGACGGGAGGACGCTAGTTTGTGTTCACCCATTACCCTAAAGGAGAACTATGGGGAACTATGGGGAATAGCCCTAACCCCATAGTTCTCCTTTAACATATCCTTGCCTCTGTGAATAGTGCTACTGTATAGTGAATCCTGTCATATTCCTGTCTGAGAGGACAGCGGTATCATAGGCATTGTTTAACCATTTTAAATTCTCACAGCACTTGCTGGGCACGGTCTGTGTTTCCGTTAAAAAAACATATGGTGGCAGTGAACGTTTGTGGGTAAAGGGTTAACTGTGGAGTTAACCAACCCTGGTGACGACTGTTCTTCTGGCCTGAGATTGTGTCCCACGAGCTGGGTGAGGCTGAGAGTGGTATCCCCACGTCCTTGTGAAGCCACGCTTGGTTCAGAACTGTGTATAGTCACGTGGGATTGACATACAGCGGGTTTGGGCCGGCGTACGTCAGAGGAGGTACCCCCCCCACCCCCCCAAGTATTCCATGACAGGTCCCCTTCTGGCAAAGAAAACACAAAAACTGGAAGGATACTTGCTGGAGGCCGTTCTTTTAAATTGGGTATGTGGGACGTGTTTCCTATTTGAGAAACCTCCATCTCTTGCATGCTGTCCTGGAAGACGAAAATACATACATGTTCATTATCTCTATCTGTATCACAATTTGAAGGAAGAACTGGAGGCAGAAGAAATCTTAACCCTTGTTGTGCAGGGGTAGACCCTTGCAATGGGCTATCCACAAACTGCAAGGGTTAAGTGTTTGTTTTAGTCTTTGGTCCAAGAGAAAGAAAAACTCACCAGAACCTCAGACCCAGCTGGCAGCTAGACAGGTCCCCACAGTCTCTCCCCCTCCACTCCATCGGTCTAAGTTCCCATGGGTAATTGGGGGAGTTGGTGAAAACTAATCACCTTTTTGCATGAAGTCTGTGTAGTACAGGGTACAATTCGTACAAGCGCTGACAAAATAAAATTAAAAATCAATACAAAGTAGTAGTTTAAGTAAGGATAAGCAAGCAAGAACCTGCCACAAACCCAGCCAGTTCATAGAGAAGCTACATTTGCCTTATCTGGACCCATATCGCTTTGTAAATTGTGCAAGGAACCACCTACCAGTATACTTCTGTTCTGCAGAGGCCACCCAGACCTGTAAGGTTGTGCGAGGTTTGGCTTCTGTGGAACTCAACTGCGCATAAGTATTGCACAGTGGGTGGATTGTCATACACAAACCCCTCTCTCAAAATAATACTCGGAAACAATAGGTAGGAATAACTTATGCAACTGTATTAATACATACAGGATACACCAATGCAGTTTTATCTGTGAGCCTGCTTGTCAGTCTTGGCATACTATTTGCACAAAGTTCATGGGCAATTCACTTTGCAGTTATAATTGCGGTTTGGCAGTGCTGACAAGGAGTGAGTGTTTGTAGAGAAATAGCAAAGGATTCCTTGATGGGAGAGGCGAGTTCAAGATTTCTCAGGAGTGATCATTACAGCTGAATGAGATCAGATAAAGGCTCTTGATGGGGCTCGCTCTATGGAATCCAGAGAGGCTTTGTGGTAGGTAAGGTAGTGTGCACAGCTATGGCACAAGTTGGTGGTTCTGGCAGTAAGGCTGAGAGGTCTGGCTGTGAGGTCTCGCTGCTTCGGCTGCTGCAGGAATGGTCAGCGTACCTGTTACAATACTGAGACGCCGACCATTCCCCTCCATGCCGTTTTATGCTGACAGCAAGGGCGGAGACTGCTAGTGACGAGGCAATAGTGAGCGTCGTTGGCGATCAATCACTGATCGCAGCTGGATGAAATCCTTACAAGACCAAGAAGCCTGGGCTCGGTCTTGTTTCACCCTGGGTGACCTCAAGCATGCCAGCGCTCCCTTTAAAATGTGTGGACTCCATGTCTCCAGAAAAGTCTGCTGCCACTTTACCAAAAAATTGTGAACTGGCAACTGACACTTGGACTACTTGAACACTAGTTCACTTGAACTTTTGTGCTTTGTGTTCTGCTGCATTCTGTGTGCATTGGCACCGGTTTTCTTCTACAGCCTGGACAGGTAGGTTTATTGGTTTTCACCAAAACATTGGACCTTTGGAGGCAGCAAAATACATGAAAAAGGTCTCTTATCTGTAAAGCACTGTATAATGTGTCACTACTATATAAACAGTTAAGGATATACATTTCTTCAATATAAGATTTCACTACCTGTGCAGGAAACATTAATTGGACGCTCCATGATTTCTTCCGGAACAATAATTCCAGCAGCCTTTGCTTTTCGTGCCATTTCCTCAGCAGTGTTGTATTTGGCTCCCACTGATGGTGGCATAAAGAATCTTTTTTTTGTCCTTACTGGATGAAGCAGGATTGGAATCATCAACCGGCTCGGGTTCAGGAGAGAAACTATACCCTAAAAGAAGAAAATTCTAATAAATGTAGCTCAACAACATACATTACAAAATGATTAAATAGATTGTAGAAACCCAATTCCAAAAAAGTTGAGATGCTTTGTCAAAATCTACATAAAAGCCCCTGAGGGCTTACAATCTAAGAGGAGGAAGTGATACATGAGGAGGTAGCTATGTGGGGATTAATTGTTTGATAACGTGATGATTGAGTGGTTAGGTTGAGGTGGGATAAGCTTCCCTAAAGAAATGAGTCTTAAGGGATCGCCTAAAGGCAGAGTGGGAGACAGACAGGTTGGGGTAAAGCGTTCCAGAGGATGAAGTCCTGGACGCGAGCATGGGAGGAGTTGACGAGTGAGCTCGAAAGCAGAAGGTCTTTTGAAGAGCGGAGCGGATGGTTAGTGTGATACTCTGAGACAAGATTTAAGCTATAGCCGGGGGCAGAGTTGTGGATGGCTTTGCAAGTCATTGTTAATATTTAGAATTTAATCCCTTGGGCTATTGGAATCCAGTGCAGGGATCGGCAGAGGGGGGTTGCAGACACTGAGCGGTTGGCTAGGTGAATGAGTCTAGCAGCAGCATTCATGATAGACTGAAGGGGGGATAGCCTGTGTAGAGGTAAGCCAATGAGGAGGGAGTCGCAATAGTCAAGACGAGAGATAACGAGTGGATGAGTAGTTTTGGAGGTTTCATTGGTGAGGAAGGGGGCGTATTTTGGAGATGTTGCGAAGGTGAAGGCGGCAGGATTTGGATAGTGATTGGATGTGGGGAAGAAAGGTAGAGGTCCGAGTCAAGGATGACACTTCGCACCTTAGCATGGGGGGGGGAGGGTTGGATAGTTGTGTTATCAATCTCAAGGGAAAAGTGGGGAAAGGTGCATGGGCGGGAGGAAATATCATGAGCTCAGTTTTTGAAATGTTGAGTTTTAAGAAGTGTTGTGACATCTAGACTGATATGTCAGTTAGTAGATTAGTGACACGAAAGGACACTGAGGGGGTACAGTTGTGCAGTAGAAAGATATATTTGAGGTTCATCGGCATAGAGATGGTATTGGAAGCCATGTGAGGTTATTAACTGACCAAGGGAGGAATTGTAGATGATGGAGGAGGGGTCCAAGGACAGAGCCTTGAGGGACCATTACAGAAAGAGGAAGAGGGGAGGAGTTAGATTTGTAGGCGACACTAAAAAGGAGCGTTTAGAAAGGTAGGAGGAGAACCATGAGAGAGCAGAGTCTTGTAGGCCAAGCAAGTGAAGTTTTCTGAGGAGGAGCAGGTGGTCAACAGTGTCAAAAGCAGCAGAAAGGTCTAATAGCAAGAGTAAGAAGAAGAGGCCATTGTTTTTAGCGGTTAGTAATTCATTAGTGAGTTTTAGGAGGGAGGTTTCAATGGAGTGTAGGAGGGCGAAAGCCGGACTGTAAAGGGTCCAGAAGGTTATAAGCGAGATGGCGGCTCAGGCGGCTGTAGATAAGGCGTTCTAGGAGTTGAGATGAATGGGAGTAAGGAGATTGGTCTGAGATCATTGAGGTTGGTAGGGTCCAGTGAGGGTTTTTGGGGTATTGGGGTGACTAGCGCATGTTTTACAAGGGAGGAAAAGATGTCAGTAGAGAGTGAAAGATTGAAAATGTGAGTAAGAGAGTGTAGGATAGAGTAAGAGGGTGACCAAGTAGTGGTGGTAGAACTGGGTCCAGGGGCAAGTGGTGAGGTGGGTGTCAGAGAAAAGCTTTGTAACCTCATCTGTGGTGACAGGGTCAAAAGAGGAAAGTAACAAGTGTGATGGTGGGTCTGGTACAATAATAGGGGACGTTGATTGGACAGTGGTGATCTGATCCTGAATTGTATCAATTTTTTTTTTTAAATGAATGGCAATGTCCTGGGCAGCGGGAATTAGTGGGCGGTGGTGGTGGAGGACGTAGTAGAGTTAAAAGTAGAAAAAAGGAGTTGAAGTGGTCTGGATGAGAGTGTGTTAATGAGGTTACAAAATAAGTTTGTTTGGCAGCACGGAGGAAGGAGTTTTTTGTTTTTTTTTTTGGTTTTTTTTTAGGAGGGCAGCTTTATACAGGGTGATATCTTGCAGAAGCCTAGTTTTCCACCACAGTCGTTCAAGAGCACAGCGATGTCTTTTTAGATGTCTGGTTTCTTTAGTTTGCCACGGTTGTAGTTGACGTGGTCGAAGTCTGGGTGTAGTGAGGGGAGCCAAGACATCCAGGGAGGATGAGACCAAGCTGTCGTAGACAGAAGTAGCCAGGTCAGGGCAGGACAGGGGTGAGATTTTGTCAGAGGTAGGTCAGTAGCAGAGTAGAGAAGGGTCGAGGTGGCAAAGGTTTCCCCAGTTGACAGTGTGCCGTGTAGGGGGATCCAGGGTTGGGGACAAGGCGAGTGAGAAACTGACAAGGCTGCGGTCAGAAAACAGGAAAGGGGTGCTGGAGAAGATACCATTTTAAGAAAAAAAAATTTGTCATTTTCAAATTGATGGCAGCAACATTTCTCAAAAAAGTTGGGATAGGACCATGTTTACCACAGTGCACCCTTTTTTAACAACACTCTGTAAACGCCTGTGAACTGAGACCAGTTGCTGGAGTTTTGGGAGAGGAATATTGTCGCATTCTTGCCCAATATAGGATTCTAACTGCTCAACAGTCCTGGGTCTTCTTTGTTATATTGCACGTTATAAGATGTGCCAAATATTTTCAATTGGTGAAAGATCTGGACTGCATGCAGGGCAGTTAAGCACCCAGACTCTTCTACTACGAAGCTATGGTTTTGGCATAGATGTGGTTTAGCATTGTCCTGCTAAAATATACAAGGCCTTCCCTGAAAAAGACGTCATCTGGATGGGAACATATGCTGCTCTAAAACCTGTATATATCTTGGCTAGACAGCTCACATGACTGGGCAACTAATGTACAAGGGTACAACCTGTTTAGGAGGGACAGGGTTGGTAGAAGTGGGGGCGAGGGGAGAAGTACGCATTTATGTGAAAAACAATCCAACTATGCACATACACGATGACCTCTGATCTAACTATGCACATACGCGATAACTATCGTAACGACAGAGTTACGATGGTGTTGAGTCTTTGTGGCTAGAACTAGATAAGACTGAAGCTAGTTGTAAACTAAATTGTGGCCAGTCCCCAAACATAAGGGAAAAGGAGGAGGCTCACCTACATTCCCAAATAGAAATAGATGGGAAGCAGGGAATTGTTGTTATAAGCGAGTTCAATTATCCGGACATTGATTGGTCACATGGAACCATCCATTCTATGAAGGCTGGCCGTTTCCTAAACCTGTTGCAGGATAATTTCATGGATCAGATGGTTGATGTCCCAACCAGGAAGAATGCTATACTAGATTCATTAATTTCCAATAATGCGGAGATAGTTGCAGACATGGCGATTAGGGATACATTAGGTAACCGTGATCACAGGGCAATTAGTTTTAATGTTGGGTACAGAAAAGTATGTTCGTTTGACAAGAACACCAAATTTCAAAAAGGCAAACTTTGATAAGCTGAGTCATCTAATGTATTACACTAAATGGGACAAATTATTCTAATGTATGACACTAAATTGGACAAAGTATTTCAAACAATGAAAACTGGTAAGTGGAATTGTTTTAAGAATACATTGCATAATGCTATTAACAAGTGCATTCCATTGGGTAATGGAAATAAAAGATCAAGAACTAAGCCTGCATGGCTAAATAAGATGGAGGGGAAAGCATTGGCATTCCAGAGATAGAAGGAATGCAATAAGATATGTAAACATGAAATCCAGCCAGCTAAAATAGATTGTGAAAAGCATATCGTCACAGTCTGTAATAAGAACCCCAAAAAATTCTTCCAATATATAAATAGTAAAAATGCAAGAAAAGAGCAGGTAGATAAAAGATGAGAACGGGTGATTAATCACAAATGACAGGGAGAAGGCTGAGGTATTAAATTAATTTCTCTCCTCAGTTTAAACTAAGGAAAAACTCAGGTTTAATGGAGAAAAGAATGTGAGTAGCTTAGTGCACAAGATACCACGGTGGTTGACAGTAGCCGGGGTTCAACAAAGACTTGAAAAACATAATGCAAATAAATCCTTTATGACAAGATAACCTGCACCCTAGAGTACTTAAAGAGCTCAGCCAGGTGAAAAGCAAGACTGTTATTCCTCATTTTCAAGGACTCCATACTGACTGGAAGGGTACCAAGTGATTGGCATAAAGCTACGGTATTTCCAATATTCAAAAAAGGCTCAAAATGCCAACCGAGGAACTACAAATCAGTCAGTCTAACATCAAATACTATGCAAACTGTTTGGGGGAATGATCAACGACTATTTAGTGGATTTTGTTTGCGACAATGGTATAATAAGTAGGGATGCTCCGATACCACTTTTTTAGGACCGAGTACCAATACTTTCCAAGTACTCACCGATACCAATTACCGAAGAACATGAAATGAATATTTATCATGCCATTGCTAACTAAGGCTTGTATCCCCATAGTGGGGAAAATAGATGAGCACATGTCCAGACTTCAGACCAGAACACTGTGTAGTGTGGCACAGCTATATCCAAATCTGTATAACTGGCTTTATATTAACATTTTTTTATAATATAAATCCAGGTATGCAGAATTGGATGTAGCTGGGCCACACTATACAGTGTTCTGGAGTCTGGACATGTGCTCATCTATTTTCCCCACTAGGGGAATACAAGCCTTAGTTAGCAATATCTACTTAGTTATTTCTTTATTTAATGTCTTTAAAATATTATATGCAGTTAAACAGCATTTTTGTGCCCAGCCCCCATGCGGTGCTGCAGTACTAATAGAAAACGATTTTGTTTCTGCCTGGAGATCCAAACCATTTAAATTACCCTTTATCACATTTTTGTCAACCAGATCCGTAACCAAAATGAACCCTATATACTAAAAAGATAAGCCAGCTAACAAGAGTGGCTGGTTTAAAAAGGGTTAGCAGAGTATCGGGACAAGTATTCCAATTACAAAAAGAGTTTA